GAGTTGTTAAACTTAATATGTTGTGAAGAGAAATATACCATAGACATTTAAACTACCAATAATTTGAAAAATGAAAATAGGTTCCCTGATTAGAAAGAATCTTAAACTCTAGGTATTAGAAAAGATCTTAGCAGTCTAGTTAAAATCTCCTCAAATAGAGGAATTATTTCTGCAACATCCCTGACAAGCAATCTCTCTTTTTGAATACCTGCAGTAGCAAGGTCTCATTTTCCCTAAGACAGTTTTTTTTTTTAGCTGTTAGATAGACACAACTATTAGAAAATTCTTTCTAAAACTGAACTGAAAACCTATTTTAGTTTCTAAATCCTACTCCTTAATTCTTTGGAGCCACAAAGAATAAGCTACCCACTAAACTACATGATTTCTGATACCTGAATTCAGTAATTCCCTAGATTTCTACAGAATTAATTCCTGGTAATATCTTGCACTGGAATCTGTCCAGATCAATCTGAACTCCGTCTGTGGACTATGGTTTCAGCTCTCTCTCTTCTCATGCTCTTTGTAAAGGTAAGAGTACTTTCTATCCTATTGTCTTCATCCTGGGTATGGATGCAGAAGCCAGGCAAATAAAGGCAAGACCAAGTCAGAGCTCACAGACTGCTGCTAGAGAATACCCCAAGCCCAGTCCTGGGAACCGTCCTTGCTAGGGTGATTACATTTTGTTGTACAGACAGTCCCTGACTTAGGATGGTTCAACTTGATGATGTTTACACTGGGTTTAGGGAGAAGTAACGCCATCATAAGTCGAGGAGCATCTTTATATTCTAAAAGATCAGGTGAGAAAACAAAAAGAAGATGGGCACCTTCCTGCTCCTGTGAACTATGTCTGCAGTAGGAAGGAGTCCATGTTGAGGGAGTGAAGGTATTAACCAGTCTATTTTGCAGTTTTGCCTAGGGCTCATGAATATGCATACATCTAGTTGAAAAGCAAAATTGCATTTGCATTTGTGTTTTATGTCCTAATGTTTCTGTGAGATCAACCGAAGGATAAAGGAGGAAAGTGAACTGAAACTTGCCAGCTGGCAAGTGATAAGTAGATTAGGGTACAAAATATGGATACTTGACTTGTGATCAGTCAAGATGATATATGATTGTACAGTGAACACTCATACACATTTGGGTTGTTTCTACTTTTTAGCTCTTATGAATGACGTTGCTATGAGCATTCTCATATAAGCTTTTACGTGGAAGTAAGTTTTCATTTCTCTTTGGTGTACACTGGAGTGGAACTGCTGGGTCATATGGTAACTCTGTATTTAACTTTTTTAAGGAAATGCTAAACTTTTTCCAAGCGGTTGCACCATTTAACATTCCCACCAGCAGTATATGAGGGTTCTGCTTTCTCCATTTCCTCTAACACTTGTTATTTTCTTTTTTATTATATGTTCATAATTTTTTTATAACACCCCTTCTCCCATCAACTCCACGTTGACATGTCAAACTCCAAGTCATTATGTCAGTGTACTATTGTCTAAGTGATTTGGATCACTATCTTACTTAAAAAGGAAGTTAGGTGATCTGGGCTTCTTGAGTAGTTTCAAAATGACATCACAGTGTAAAGTTTAAGGACTTGGGTTTTAAAGTCAAACTTGGATTTAAATCCTTACTCACCTACCTAGTGTCTGTGTGCTCTCAGGCAGGTCACTTTAGAACTTCTCTGAGCTTAGGTTTCCTCATCTGTAAAATGCAAATGATACTTTCTCTTGGGGTTTTTGAAATAAATTTACACAGTAGGCACTGACTAAATGGTTGCTGCTGCTGTTTTAAAAAAATCTGTCCTAGTAGTATATATGAGCCTTGTTTAATATCAAGTAAGATTCTCCAAAGTCCTAAAAGGCCTGAAAGCTATGCAGTTTGTGGGCCAAGAGCTTGGTAGCCTATAGGATACGTACAGAGATGCCATATATGTCTGCTTTCATCATCATGAAGGCTGGTAACCACTACCAGTATGCTCTCCTCTGTACCACCCAACACTGCTTCTTAGCTTAGGAGAGTTATTTGCTGCCAGATATAACCTTTCTCTTAAGTCCCAAGAGATCAGTACTTTGGAACACCACTTTTAAATTATCCAGCCCTTCCCTGGTGAAGAGAGAATGATGAAATTAACAAACACCAGCCAGGCTTGGTGGCTCAGCCTGCAATCCCATGCCTTTGGGAGGCTGAGGGAGTGGATTCCCTGAG